TAAAACTGTGAAGAATTAGGGTCATAAAAGCTTTTTGGAGCAACTTTGTCCTTGGTCCTCTGAAGAGCTTTTGCCGCGACGAAGGTGCAGACGCCATCTTTTAACTTTCACATTGTTGCCACAAACATGCCTTCACATATCTTTTCCTGATCCCCACTTTATTTCCTTCTAAGGCAGACTTATGCTGTAGTTTGTATGCATCGACCAACTTAAGAGTTTTAGCAAAGCTAACCCCGTCCTGCCTCCTTGTGACTTGGCGGTTAACGAAGGCGATAGCTCGGAGCGTGGCCTTCAGAAAGCCTCCCCCATATCTCTCACCATGTAAACTCCACTACTTTTTTAACTCAAAGGCAAAATAAGAGTCTGTTTATGTGTAACAAATCAGCTTTGGGGATAAACTGTTTACAACTTTAGTTTTGTGGCGTCTCTGCGTTTTGTGAACGGGGCAATACACAGTGGCAGGAGAGGAGGTGGGAGGAGCAAGGGGAAGGGGGTGGGATATGGACACTGTCCAAGCTTTTTATACGTGTCTCGTGACTTTAGTGTTGTTGCATACGTCCTTGAGGGAAACATTTTTTTCCTCTTTCTCTCTCTGCAACACTGTCAACCTTAGACCTCTTGCGTAACACCTCCTCTGTGTTAGATGTTATTTGCTAGGACGATGCTTCTTGCAGAGCATTGCAAAATTGCGCCTCCAGTAACGATGAAAAAGGTCTTTCAAGATTATTTATACCTTTTGCATACAAGCGCTTTCCTTTTACTGTGTACAAGAAAATTTACGCCGAATTAAGCATCCTATTTGCAGGAACGCGATGGAGAGTCGGCGGGGGGGGAGAAACTTCTGTCTGGTCTTCAAGTCTAGTACATGATTTTAGAATTTTTCTTGCTTGAGGAATAAAATCTTTGTCAAATCTAATGTACACATCGTTGAACACTTCCTTCTGCTCTTACCTGTTGTTGCAAAAATCTTGCATGATTCTCCCAGAAACTGTGTGGAAGGCATCGGCGTTCCATGTTGAGCGGATTTAAGGCATTCGCATAGGAGAGGTTCTTTTGAATTGACCACATCCGAGTTGTAAGGTTTGCCAGACCTTAGCCACGAGACCTCAGAGTTGGTCCACAGCCCTCAAATCTGACGCACAAAGGACGTGGAATGAGTCATGGCACACTTATTTATGCTTTTTTAGGCCACGAAGTTAGTCAAGCCTTCACAATGCCATTGAGGAGTTCACCTGCGCTCCTGCTCCTCGCGGTCACCGTGATGTCCGCGCCACAATACGGTGAGTGGCCCTGTTGAGTCCCTCTCCTTTTCCCCGCCTAGTAGCCACGGTTCCAAGTGTAGTGCTTACAAAACACAGGTTGTGGAATCGGAGCACTTTAAAGTGCGTACTGTCTTACATCTTTGGTTCGAATGAGAGATTTGCGTCAATTTATTCATGCGGGCTTCATGGATGAAAGAGTGATTAACGGACGATACATCTCTTTGTATCATTTACTATAAAAAAAGTGTAAATAAACATCTCTTTTGCCATCAGTATTGACCACCCGCCTCGACAGGTTGGATTTGGATACCAACGGGAGTGCTGCGACACAAGTTGTCAGATGGCATCACATGTATCACACTTCGAGTAAATAAAACTGCCTCAGAAACTTCCCTTTCCCTTCATCACCACAAGTGTGACGCGGTCCGCCTTGGTGGAGGTCGATTGATTGTACCAAATCGTGTACCACAAGTGCATTTGCATAACTTGAAATAATCGTAAGATTTAAGACGCTTAAATGGCCTATAATTGGAGTGGAGATAGTTAGACAGCATTTTTTCCTTCTGTTGCCTGTCACCGAAGAAAGCGCACCGAGGCGTCGGTCCGTCCGCTAATCAATAAATTTCGGACCAACGCATTTCTTACCTCCCAATCGGTTGGACGGTGTTCCGGTGGCATCGGCACAGTAACACGATAATTTGGCGCCGTGTAATGAATTGCGGGACGCGTTTTTAAGTCCTTGTGCACCTCGAGATATCCCTGGCGTGGCGGCCTTTACGATTTTGCGATTTAATGGGCCAGCGAACTTTAATTGCCCTCTTGGTACACCTGCTGGAAAGCCCAATGATTTGTCCAGTACGCTGTTTAAAGTTCGCCACTTCATCAACCATTCGGTAAAGTGAAAACATTATCAACATTTATTTGGGAACGAGCTGTCGCCACCAGTCACAAACACCGCTGCTTCGGCAGTCGTAGGTCGACCTAGGCAAAAGAGAGGCGAAGGTTTTGAGAGGATTTTGCTCCCCCTTAACTGCCTTACTGATCAAAATGCAATCTGATTTTGACTTTTAGAGATTCCAGTGCGTGGGTTTGTGCTGTGCATGTGCCAAGCATGTAATCCCTGCGCTTTAGCATCGCTGTCCCTCATTGCCGTATGCTTTCGCTAGTGCACGCCTGCGATCACTTGCAGCACGTCTTACTGTCAGCTACTCGACAGCAAAACACCATTCTGAAAGCGTCAGATCTTTTTTAAGGGCTAAAGGTTGATGTCAGTAGTTATAAGTTTTGCGTTCAAATCGCCCTCTACTCAAATTGACCGACATGAAAATGACACCAAGGCAGGAGGAACTTCTCGTGTCCCCTTGGCACAAAATGGAGAGGGTGTGAATGTGCTACCGTTTACTCATCCTTAAAGTAGATGCGAACTCGATCGTGTTTTTAGTTCCGATAATTGGTGAGGAAAGCAGCAACTAGTACAACTCTCACAGCAAATTAGGCGAAATTAGTGATGCCGTTTCCTTCAAGGTGAAGCAACTGACAGTTAACGTTGCCCCAACTAAGGGAAACCTCAAAATGTCTGCACTTTGGTGAATTTGTGGTACAGATGGAGTGGGAAAACGCAGTTAAGTATCTACCGAACCGCAGGTTTGTCGCTCTTTACTTTGCTCGCCCTTAGAGTTGTGAAGGCTGACGCTTTTGATCAAAAAGGAATTTTTTAGTAAATTTTGTATTTGACAAGGTTACACATCATATAACTGGACTTTTTTTTACCATAGCACCATTCGTTCGCAATATCAGTTTACTAAGGTTTGCACGTGCTACTTTCTAAGTTGATAAGTAGTATTGACCACCATATTCTATAACTACGTATGTCAAGTTGCGTTGTGTAATCCTGGCAAGAATGTTGTATTTTATGGTTATGTGACAAAGGAAATTCAGCGCATCTCAGCTCCTACGCGGCAAAGCGAACGTGGCTGTTTACTTAGTGCCGGTAAAGCTAACGAAAGGGAGGGGAAGCAGGAGAAATCAACTTGTTTACTAAGTATGACCGATGTGATTTCTAAAGTTTGTCTTCCGTGGAAGTATTTGCCAAATTACTGCATCAGATTTCCTCAAATTTGGGCAATAAAGATCCTCTGCTACTTACTAACTGAATAAGTAGCATTGCATGTTTTGTATCCCTTCTTGCTTTGAAGGGCTAGCAAGTGGCCATAGAAAAACCCAACACCGTAAATCGCTTAAGTCATCAAGAGTCTCATATGTAAGGTCTGCTTCTTACTTAAAATTGGCGACTGATGTCAATTTTTGTGCAGACGCTTTTCTCAGCTTTAGTGGCTTAATAAATGCGCTTGCCTGGTCGCCACTCAGTGTCGCTTCTTCCCTTCTGAGTTCATTTCGTTGACATTTTACAATGTACGCTCGTTTCCAAATGCTTTTTCTCCACTTTATGCCATTTAAAAGACGACCCCATTTCCTCAATTGACCTGCTATAAGTGCGACGATGCCATTCACGGTTGCCAACCCGAGCACATTGAAAACGAAGTCTGCCAAATAGGCACCACCTCATGCATGGTAAGTGTCTTTGTCACTCCTCCCTGCCTTCCTTCTTTATTCAACTACCTTCACGATGTTTGGCAGTAATTCAAACAAACTTGAAGAGGTTAGGCTCTCATCTTTCCTGACTTAGTTATTGCAGTGTTATCGTAGACCTTGCCAAACACCCGCACCATTCAACCGATTTTCTCTCCATGTCTACAAAAGCGGGTTTGTGACAGGCTAATTGAAAGCCTCGGTAAGACTCCCGGATAACCGGTTTTCAACCACCTCGTAGAATAGCGAAAATCTCAACCACTTGACTGTTCAATTAGTAAATTTAGTGCTGCCTCCCTTCGTGTGCAAACACGTCACGGCTTTTCCGCTGACTGTCTTTAATACCGTTCCGCAAATCATGAGAGAAACGTTTGAGCTATCGCCGAACCTAAGATGGTCGCCTTTGGCCCCCCTTAATAGGGGCTAAGCACAAGGCAAATCCTATTTGAAGTCCCTTGGCAGTGGCTGTCCTATTAGCGTTCTGATCCGACGCAAGAATCTTGGAGGTGCAAAACTCCAAGTTTCACCTGAAGGTCAGATGCCTTCCGATAACTTCAATTTCGTCCACATAGTGTATCCATCTAGCAACTCCATTGCACACTTCCACCTCTTCTGTCACTTTCATGCATTAACTCGGCTGCCTAAAGACGGTGGACGAATTCGCAGCTGTGCATGAATCTGCTCGTCACACACCGACTGCTTCCATGCAGACACTCCGTGCCCATTGGACCGGTCATCGTTCGCCTTCCCACTGACAGCTGCAAGCACCAGTCGGAGGCGGCTGGAAGGTGCTCCATGACACAAGCACTGTTGTGACGCCGTATTGTAGCGTGGCTTGTGATGCGTGAGAACGTCGGGTGGAGCTCCACGTACACGCTAAGTCGTGTCGCCCAGATGTTTACAACCAACCCACCTAAAAAATGATTAATTATTAAAAAAAGCTCTTGTTTATTTTAACCCACTGATCTAAATACCGCCATTTATGGATTGCAGAAAAGGCCGCGACAGCAGTAGTCCCCCTTGCTCGGTTTCACTTTGCAACACGGTGCTCCTCTAGGCCTCTGTTCTGATACTTTTGGGGGCCACCAGTTTAACAATCGCCTTTACGTGTTTAATTAAATATCTCAGTTGCAAAGAGCGGTGCCTTTGATGTCACCGACTTTGATCCTCGGCGCTGTCGAAGTCGAGTTGGGCGTGGTGATGGCGTCTCAGTGTGATAAAATTTGTAGTCTAGACTTACTGACGATAGTGGCGCCAAGAGCAGGTGAGAATCATGACTTGTGCGCTCTGCGTGGCATGCGGCCGGTGGATTGGTAAACGCTCACGTCGGTGAGCGGATTGTGCGCGTCTTCATGTCCCATTCACCTCCCTTTTGAGGTGGTGATAGGAAATACAATCCGATCCCACATTAATAAAAAAAAAATTCTCTTACAAGACAGGACCTTCAAATTTCTTGGTCATTGTCGTGCCTTAAGGCATGCCAGTCTCCATTTCCATCCTTGAAGTCCGCCCTTCCTACTCTCCTTCTGTGCTTTTGCTTCTTTTTCGGTCCCTGTGCAAAGGTGGAGCTGTTCTTCGCACCGAACTCCACAAAGATGTTCAATTTCCGTGCCGGATGTGCTGCTCGTCATGGATGTCCTGAGGGCTACACCCGACTCATGTGCACCGACTTTCTCAACAATGTGAAGGTTCGTGTGCCTTTTCTCCGGGACGTATGAACTTCAGTTCTACCACAACACTTAAAAAGCCTCCTCTGACCTTTTGGCTACTCACTAACAGATGTGTTTCCCCTCCCTTCAGACATGTCGTCTCTGCTGTTTCGAAAGTAACTGCATTGATCCGACACCGGGCTCGGATGTTCGAGTCTCCGTAATGAAGGATCTGCTGCTGCAATCCGGATTCTATAACGAGAGTATCAACAAGTATTTGGCCCGTGAGAACGAAATTGCTCAAAATCGAGGCGTTACAACAACAACAACACGAAAAACAACAACGACGATGATGTCAACAACACCAACACCTACCACAACATCGGAACCCATGGAACTGTGCAAATCCACTCCACGCACTACGCCACAAGAGGACTTTGACCCAAATGAGTGGACCGATGAGGATGAGCTCGACTCGACCACAACAGTGAGGGTGGAGGATGAAGGCGATTTGGACTCGCCCGACAGAGAGGTGAGAGTGGATGAGGCTGAGGAGGTTAAGAAGGTAGAGTCCAAAACCGTTGCAGGAGAACGGCCAGACGTGCAAGAGATGGACATGAATGATCAGACTTACAATGAGGAACCAAGTACCCGAACGGCTACCGCTGTCCTCTGGAAGGCCTCACGAGATGCCACCACACGCAGTGAGGTGGGCATAAAATCCACCCTCCTGATCGCGCTTTTGACAGCAGTGGGAGCAATAAGAGCAGCATTGTGAGCGATGAAACAGTGTGCCTTTTCTTTCTCCAAATCCTTCTCCCTTTTCCTTGCGACCACATCCCTTCTGACCCCTCCCAACCGACTTGTCCATTGTATTTTACATCTTAATGGCAATCTTCCAGCTGCTCTCTACTCTGACCACCTCCACATGCACACTCACCCCGCCACCGCCATCGGCTACAGTTGCCGCTGGTTAAGAGGAACAGTGAAAAGGGGCACTTAACCACTAGGATTCGCTTTTCGTGTTAGGAAGACCTCCCATTCTGTTCTTCCCAAATAAAGTCTTCGCAACCCCAGAGAACTTGGTAGGCGGCGCACAATTGCTTCCAGGTGTTGAAGTTGACGCCTAGTGCAAATAAAGGCATTAATTTGGGCTAAGCGTTCAGGTTTGCGGCCGCTTTGGCTCGCATGCCCAAGTCTGGTGCGTAAATAACAGGCAGAAGTGCATAACTTCAACAGAGTTACTTGGTAGATCATTTTCCTGCTTGGTATTTGGAATTTTAAGGGCAACTTCTAAAACCCTTCATACGCTGAGCAATTAAGGCGCCAATCCCAATCGGTGGTTCACTTCAATCCAGTTAATTTCAAGATCTCAAATTTCTTTAGGATCTAAAGTAATGCCGAGCCGTACTCAAGTATTCTCGATGATGAAAAAAAAACCATTTTGTGGGATCGAAGCGACAACAAGGAAACATTTTTACCCCAAAAAGGCTGACGTCTTGACAAAAAAGGGGATGAAAATGGTTTTCGACTTTGACATTTACCTCATTCTCGTGTCCAGCAAAAGGCTATTAACAAGAGAAGCTGTACTTGCCATAAACTATAGTTTAAAAATTCGTTTCGCAAATTCTCATTCGTGCCTGCATTATGGTGTTGATAGTGTCAAAATATGCCTAATCGTAGGCCTGCTCGATAGAAGAGAATCTCATACTAACTTTTGTTGTTGTTGTTGTTGTTGTTGTGTAGAGCAGCAATTGCTGACTTGAACTTCTATTCCAAAGTCGGTAAATGGAGTCAGTAACTTTGCTGTCCGACAGATAACGTTTAACGGTTGGCGTGGTGGGATCAGGAGGGTTGCGATGAATGACACAAGTGGGTTTCCTCAGGAAAGACGTCAGAGAGATGGATAAGAAGAGGTGGTGATAATAGAAATATTTTTGTGGGTACCGATTAGGACTATTTTCAATTAATTGAACGCAATAAAATGTAGCAGTCATACTAACTTCTAAGAGAAGCTACTAGCCGTATTATCTATCCAGTGTAAAAAATATTAATAAGAACCACCAGAACTCATTTAAACCTCCTATAATTTAGTTGTACTACTTTGTTTATGTGGCTGTAACTTAGGGTTTGTTTGACCCTTGCATTCGTGAGCTGGCTTTAGGGTCAAGCTTAGGGCCATTTGCTCTCTTCTCTTCGGAGTACATGTACCCAGCCTCACTGCCTTCCTCCACTCTATGGGAAGTCTCGGGACGCCACATTAGTTAGGATTATAAATGTATAATAAAAATTGGACTCACAAAAATTATTGTTATTATTATTTAGTTTGGATGCGTTGGTCATATACTATGATTTGGCTTTAGAAAGAGGAGTGGGCAGGATTCTATAAGTGAAAATTATGTTCGATCGAAGCCAATTGCCAAATTTTAATGTATCGTAAATCATTGATGACAGCTTGACATACCGAACATGAAAAGAAACGAAAATCTTTTAATCAGTGTGCTTGTGAGTGTATTCGGAATAAAATAGAGTGCTGATTTAACTTGCATGAATATTTGTTTCAATCGTCCACTAATAGTAAATTCGTGGACCTCAGCGTAGCCGAGTCCGTTTCCAAATCTCCATCCACACGCCGAATCGTTGGGGACATTCGGTCAAGTTCCAAACGCTCACCAAGGGTTTTTTTAATTTAAAATCAAAGTAATAGCCGAACTCAAAATCCGGAAACTGATGCTGCGGATAGGCGGCAATTGTGAATCTTTCCTTCATTTTATCCCTGCATAAAATTGATCGCATTACTTGAAGTAGTTTGCCTAAACCAGGACGATACTTTTGTACGACTCAAAGAAACATTCCAAAACGCTATGCTTGAAATCTGGATGGAATGTTAAGCAGCCTTTTATCATAAGTTATAAGCCACATACCATTCGGTTAATAAGTAAGACCCCATAACGTGTTATATCTACAGTCAAATAGATGTTGTTAAATTCGCTTGGATTATGAGTGATGATTTAATTAATCCTAGTGGAACATTTCATTTGTCTTTCTAAGTGTCGATTTTGGTTCAGAGCTACTTTTCATTGGGTTACATTTAGAGTGTTCTGGATTTGCATCCCTTCTTAATGTTCGAAAAGTCGGAGTGTGAAGCAGACCACACATGAGATATTGAGGTAAAGCCGTCTTTTATTGCTTATATGCATTGTTTTTAAGTAAGGTTGTGGAGCACCTCTTTTTGTCTGATGCCTAACATTTATGTCCTTTTATTGCATCCATGGCTTAGTGGGACATGAAATAAGTCCGTGCCACTAATATGTAGTTAGTGTGAGATAACATGGCAGAATTACAGCCGCCCCTATCGTCTGTCTGCATGGACAATTTAAAGAAGAACTGTAAACGCCGTATGATACCTTATTTAAACAGAAAATTGAGTTTGGGTTTTCTTGCTTTTAAGTTGACAGGCAATGCTGTCGGCAAGGCGGACTGCTTTATCACCAACTATCCACTTTTTCCCTTTACTTATAAACGCCCCGACATGCTGCAACAAATCAAGTTTTTAGGGAATTTTGCCCATTAAGCAAGTCAGCAGTGATATTTAAAAATACCTTTTGGTGGGATCAAAGCAATGAAAAGTGATTTCTTTTAATTACCAAAATATTTACTATCGCACGTGATGCCTTGGTGAATGTGGTATGCCGGAGAGTGTCGCCATTCCAGTAAAGTTTTTTTCTATCTTTAGTCGTTGCAGTGCAGATTTTGTGGTGTAAGGTGAAGCGGCTACCGAGGTGCGTTTTACTGGCCCTTGAGGTGACTTCGTCAAACTTTGGAGAGTGGAGGAGACTCTGCATCACCATTTTTACTGTGTCACGACATTCACGGACCATTTTAAGTTGCTCAAGATTTATAGACCAAGGCGATTAGGAGACCAACTTGTTGTCAGGAGCAAAGGCGGTAATACAGACTTATTCGCCTCACCCTTAGTTGCATTTTGTTTGTATTTAGGGACCATTCGCTGCTTCCCGCCCACCTGAGACTCACGTCCGCCGGTTAGCCATGTGTAAGTCTAAAAGTCTACCAAAAAGTGGTAAAATATCCACAGTTGACGCTTCTTAACCACATATCATGAAAGAAGTGACAACTTGTTCTCGTGAGGCACTTTTCGTTATTTGCAAGTCTCTCTAGACAAGGAGAAATCTGTGTCGGACTTACATAAATGCATCACCTTGCTATCCTCGGTGAGTCTTCGATATTTTGCTGTTTTTGCGTCCCAACTTCCTCTCTTTAAAATGCAAAAGGGCGTCGTGGAGGAGAGGCGCTTCCGGCGGCAGGTGTCGTTCTCCCTCCCTCCCTCTCTTCCTCCCTCCCTCCCATCGGAAAGGCGATTTTCTTGGTGCCTGTCCAACAGCTGCTTGCAGGGAGCAGCCAACCTGCTACACATTCGAGTGTTTGTTCACACTCTCATTTCTACTAATTCAGCTATTAATTAAAACAACGTCTTAATTTGTAGCTGGATTCTTATTGGCGGTCAACAGGCATGTTTTTTGTGCTCCTTACTTGAATCCGTGAGAACAGCAACAATTATCGAAATGACAAGCATTGATCGACATTTTACTCTGTCCTTTTTTTCCTTTACAAGACATTTAGACCAATCTGGAGTCTTTGCGTCCTCCAGTTCACCAAAACACTGCATGCCTGCGGGAGTGCATTGAGCGAAGTGGGTGAGACAAAACGGATTCCTGTAGTAACTCGTCCAAGTACAACTCTTTAGTGGCCTCGATTGCGTCTTTAAGGTCTACCAAGAGTTGTATAATTCAGAATTATTCGAAAGGCAAATTTTTAAGGTAGTTGGCGTAGTTTGGACCAAATAAGAAAATAAAGATCTAGGAGCACGTAGCGCCCACAAAATGCGACAGGCTAGGCAGAACGATATAGAATGTGCCTGTCAATGTGCGCGGAAGTGTCGTTTGCAGTGTACCTTGGGGTGGTTTCTTTTTTCGATGGAAAGTCGGTGCTGAGGATGAATTGGTTTACCCACACCTTCTTGTATCATTCCTTGAGGCGACTCCTCGTCTTTGTCAGTGTTTGCAGCAAAAAATCCTTTCGAGTCGCCTGCTAATCATCTTTGCTATTGGGGAATGTTGTTAGGCAACTTTAAAAGTCTCTATTCAAATAAACCAAACTCATCTGGATTGTTAAGCGCACTACTGACAAATTAATAAGTAGCAGCAACAAGGAAGATAGAAAGGGTTGGTGATTCTCGGTGATTATTTACACAATCATCATTCACAATGGCTTATTTATGAACTAGAAATTCATGAGATAGTTTGTCTTACTAAGGTGCGTTAAGTTATGCTTATAGACGAATTTTCCTAAGGATCATCAGGACTATCATTTGCGGTGGATGGGGGCCAAAGTTCATTGATGCAACGCTAAAGCATTTGCATTTTTAAGAGCAAAGTTTCGTCCAACGTGGTATTTTGGTTCTACGACAGCTTCCGTGTTGGCATTTAGATTGGTAAAATTATTTTCTTGCTTTACCTTTTCCTTAATTGCGGTCCTTGATGAAACTGAATGAATGCGTCTGGGTTAGGGGAAGATGGACGACATCAAAAGAAGTCCTTGATTAGGCACCTATTCTTTAATCAATCCATAAGTTGCCTGCTACAGTTCGATCGAATATCCATGCGTTTAGGAGTGTAAAATCTGATGGTGAGACTTCAGTAGCCCACATCGTCCCTTCACTTTCGCTGTGCATCCATTGATCGCGATGATGGATGACTTTACAGAAAGCATGTAAATGAAAGGCAAATCTTTTTTGCGCGATAGTTGCAGAATTAGTTTTGTTGTCTTCATTAAGCTGTTTTACTTGGATTCTGCAATTCCTTGGACATAAATCAAAGCGCTTAGTTTCCAAGTGCGGCAGTAAGAAGTGCGCACAGTATTTCATGCAGAAGGACTGACGACAAACGAGTATATTGTCTAGCCTTTGGATGTGGGGTGCAAGTACTTGCGGTCAACTAATCGGTTGGCGGTTCCTCACTGGTCTGTTTGCCAATCCATCAAGGAGGTTAGAACACCAATTCTGTCGCGGACAAAGTGCTAGCGCATTGGTTCTAGGCCTCCGTAAATCATGCATAAAGGATTTAAAGCAGTACTGCAATGCAGCTTTGCCTCCTCGAAATTGAAGTGATTTGGAACGTGCAAAATATATTTAAAAGCGTAGTTTGTATTTAATTTTTTCACCTAAGATTCGAAAATATTCGTTTGAAGACGGTCTAGAAGAAGCCGAGTTTAGATAACTTTTTATGAGCACGTAATCGTAATTTTAAAATTAAGTGCTTGCGCTGCTTTCATCAGTGACCAGCTATTCTGGCTTAGGTCTCCGAAACATAGAGGGGCAAGGATTTTCTAAAAACGTGTCATGCTATACAAAGTAAAAAATTGTTACTTTATATTATAAAGTAGATGGTTTTATTTTTGCTATTAAAGGGTCCTAAAATGTCTTTGATCTATGCTCAACATGCTACGAAGACATACAATCAGGCATTTTTCTAACTTAAGACCAAAAATTGGGACTACATTTTGAAGTAATTCCTAAATTGATTTGAGGCCTGACCTAAAGGGCAGATGAGTCGGGTTGCATGCTGCTTGCAACTTTGCAGCGCCTGTAGAATTGCACCATCGTTGTCTCTCGTCAGTTCTACGTGGTGGCCCTGTGAGGCTCTAAGCAGACAAATTGCCCTACTACTGCTAAGTGATGAATTGATGACTCCCAAATTAAGAAAGCATTTGAGTAAAATCTCCACTCACGGTTAAACATGTGATTAATCCACCGGAGCTTTTAGAAAAGAAGCCAGTCTTGGCATGATGGTAACTTTGTCGACAATGACATGGAGGATTAAATGCTTCTTGTTGCAAGCAGTACATGTGCCTTTTCTGACCTGAGATGTCCTTTGCTTTTTAAGCCTTATGCACTACCAAACGCATTACAATTCGCAAATTGAACAGAAGTATTGTGATACTTAGGAAAATGTGAATTGATTTGGTTACCACTGTCCCCTTTCGCCCCTCTCTTTCATCGTTGCTGTCAACTTCTCCATGCAGTGCCTGCCAAAGGCGACATAGCCAAGCAAAGCCAGTATTTGACAATTGTAGTACTCGTGAAGTTTCGCGTCGAGGCTTTTGACGCGTTAATCTAAGCAGGGTCGACTATCATTTTGGTAAAAGTGACATACGTGAATACGTATTGCCTCGGTGGATTAGAAATTGTTAGGTTTAAGGCAGCACGACTTACTGCTCTATAAATACACTTTGGACATAAAAGAGTGACCAAAGGAGTGATCGAGGAGGTTTTGAAATACTTGGTGCTCATGTCGAATTCTCCTGCACTGAGAAAAAGCCACTTCATTTCCATTGTTTATCCACGCATTGACTAAATCGGGGCGAGGTGCAACCGACAACGCTTTGACAAGTTTAATCATTGTGTTGGGAGTTGATTTGCAAGTTGAGCATAGGTTGGATCCATGTGCCAAGTGCAAAAGATTTTTAGGGAAAAATGTTGAAAACGAATAAAAGTTCTGTTGGTTTTCTAGGTGATAAACGAACTTTTATTCATAATTGCATGTGAAAAGGTCTCTACTGTTGTGCATCTAGATGACATACCACTTTAGCAGGATACATGAATTTGTATTCACGTCGGAAAAAAAGAGTTTAGGGATAGCGACATTGTCAAAAACCAGCCAATCCAATGGACAGAGTGTAGTGAACAGAGGTACTTAATGCGCCACTTTGTTTACTCCATTACCCGTAGGAACGGCGGAGTAGATGGGAAGACAGAACCACGAGTCAAGCCGAAGCACTGCGTCCTATTTTTTCACGTTGTATGTAAGTTTTTAGCCGTGTCTTTGCCGTCCCTTAAAATACGGGGAGCCTTGGAACGTTGCAATTGTTGCAAAGGTGAAGCCAAAGGAGCATAAATACCATACACCCGAGCTAATTTAAGCAATCTAGTAGCAAAATTAACAAAGTGTTCGGGTTCCCATTTTGTTCCTCATGTTAATAGAATTCTTCGCATAATAATCGAAATTGCAACTGTATGACAATTTATGTGACCACCTAATATGTGGCGGCCACTGTGTAGTTCGTTTCGTCCTTGTACGCATACATTAGCCTTTGGATCATACGAAGGTCCTACGCATAATTCTCCAATTAGAATGTATGCATATAGTTCAGCACAATTCTTTTACCCGGTGGGAATTTTAAGACACCACAGCAACATGCGGGTTTGTTAAGGATTATTTGTGTGAAGGAGACAAAAAGATCTGTTTGAACATTGTGCCTTAAGAGTGTAAGGATTCTTACCGTAACTAGTGTGGATACTCAAGTACTTGCATGCATTATGCCTTAAATCTCCATAAGGAAGCTAAGTCAGATTTTTGGGACAGCAAAAATTAAACAAGCTATGTTTGTTAGATAAAACCAACGTAGTATTTCGCTACGTATGAGAAGCAAACAACATATATTTAAAATCAGGCTAAAATAGGCAAAGGAAATTTTATTTTGCCGTGCAGTGTAACATTTTTTATTACTTGATAATGAACTCTATATTTATCCATTACTAAAAGCATGAGATGTAGATATTTTACAGAGTTATTTTGTTTAACTCTTTCACTGTTCACCGTCTTCGATCAAAGGTCATTTGCATGCACGGTATATAAATTATCCCATCGTGGCGACTGTCTCGGTTGATTTTGCGCTTTTTCTGCACTACTATGGCCCCGATTCTTGGGTATTGGGACGGTAGAGGGGTATGTAAAATTCATTTTGTCTTTAATAAACTAGTTTTGATGAGCAGGTTGGCACTAGTCACCGCGTGTCAATGTTTCCTGATGTCTAACCCGATAGCATTTTCGTTCGCTCTGAGAATCGTTTGTTCCTTAATTTAATTTTAAATTATTTTTAGCTGCACATGCATGATTTTGCTAAGTTTTTGTTATCCTGTTTGCTCCGCACCTAGCTCGCTGAACAGATTCGTCTTCTGCTGAAGTACCTTGAGATCGGGTTCGTTGACAGGCGCTATAAGGTTGGCCCAGGTAGGTGAGAATGCATACTGCTCTATTCGCCTTCTCTAGCTTTAACCTACAATAGTAATGCATGGGTGCTGGAGAAGTTCTCGCTTGGTCTGGACTTTCCCAACGTAGGTCTCCTCTCCATGTACTCTCTACAATTGACACCTCCGACAGATGCCCTACTTCATCGACGATGGAGACTTCAAGTTGACTCACTTGGGAGCTATTGTGGAGTTCATTGCTGAGGCACACGGCATGGGTGAGTGCCAGTAGAGCGTCCTTTGTATTTTCATTCAATGTAAAATCAGAATAAATGTCAGCATCGTCCTTGTGTCTTGTTAAACTTCCAGTTCCCAATTGCAAGAAGCAGCGCGCAGTGTTGCACATGCTCCAATGCGAGGTTATGGAATTGCGTATGCCGTTCGCAAAGACTTTTTACGGTACTGATTGTGTTCGTCATGTATGTTTGAATGTATTTTTGGAAATATTTGGTATTTTGTTGTCTTAGAATCGTAGTGTCTTGTAACCTTCTTAATTCTTTAGGAAGGGGAGGAGGAAGAGGATGAGAAGAAGGAGGAGGAGGACTCGGATAGAGAAAGGGAGGAGCTGAGGTCAAGTTTTTTGGAGAGACTGAACCAGAAACTGCCGCGATTTGAGGCTTATTTGGGTGAGAAGCAGTGGCTCACTGGCGAAGAGGTGAGCGCGCTTTTGAAATGTCTGACCACTCGTAATCTATTCTTCTCCTTGTCAATTTCACTTATGACAGCTAGATACATGTTGATGAGTTGTTGTTGAGGATCTTGGTTCCGAAAACAGACGTTGGTATATTTGTGTACAGATCAACTATCCCGACTTTGCTCTGTGCGACCTGTTGATGCAGTTTACGAAGGTGGAGCCAGGTTATTTACAGGAGTATCCCAAGCTGCAGGCCTACCTGTCGCGTTTCGAGGTAATTGGTAGAACTGCTTGGTGTAGGAGGAAGAGGAAGAGAAGTCTCATATGGTCGAACGTTGTGTTATAAATCCTTATTGTTGGTTACAGAGGCTACCTCAATTGAAGACATACCTGTCCGAGAAGTAGTTCGGGACACGGCCCTGGACTGGAGCACTTAATAATCGCCACCACAACGGCTGGGCAATTGTTCTTATTGGTGGTTGCAATGTGTTGTGAATTGTGTATCTTGCGAAGTAAAGAGGATTGGAGGGGTGTTGATTGTGTAGAGGGTGTGTGACTGATGCGGGTTTTATGGTAAAATCTTATGCAAATTGTTGGTGGTGGGACAGTCTACAGCAGATATGTAATTGCTCTTTGACACAGTGTGTTTTACAAGGAGAAGAGGAGCAAGTTTGTCATACGTGAGTGGAGAGTGCGCTTTAATGATGTAGACATACCTGAAATCAGTAAGTATTTGTCGTGGTGCTTTGCATTCTTTAACGCTGAAGTGGTGTGTAGAAGAACAGCATTCATTGTGCAGGAAATGAGAACGGATGGGAAATGTTCTCTTTATAGTGTTACGAGAATAGATGGCACAGATTGTCTGTGATGTGTGCAAGCCGTGGGTGGTTAATTGAGGCTCCTCTGTTGTCGGCAAAGACAGGTTTTCCGTTGGGGTCGGCATCATGTGCAAGGTGCGTCTGTTAGGGAGAACGATAGGTTGTGTGCTACTACCTTACTGAACTGGTGAGTGAGGACGTCGAATGTGTTGATATGTGCTAAATTGGGGTAAGAATGGATGTGGAGTGTGAATTCAGTTGATTGAACTGGGCGGACACTGGTATGCGGTTGAGATGCATTAAGGCAACGTGAAGTGTCCCAGTTTAAGCAGTTCTCCAGTAGGATTATGTGCGGTGTTAATGTATCGCATTGAGAGGGGAGACAATAGCCGTTCCCCTCCTCACTGGCCTCTAGACGCTTAACTAACTTTACCCTCGGGCTGCGAATTGGCGGGCGGGAGGACATTTGTAAACAGACATTTCGTGCTCGCATAGCTTATCGTTCACGTACATTAGTAAAAAACGACCAGAAGATGCTAGCCACAATTAAAATGATTGTGTCGGACCCTCAGAAAGAGAGTCAAGTAGCTAGCATTTTAGTCGAGTTAGGCAGAAAAGATTAAATTTTAAGAGGAAGGAATCATTAGGAATGCATAGTGTGGATGGAGATTGGGCATAGGAAAGGAAAAATAAGTAACTGTAAAGCAGGGGGTCATGCACTGTACGGTTTCGTGGCGATTTGCCTCTTCACTGCAACTTGTTTGTAAAGGAAGGTGCCCTTGTCTTACACCAATGCCACGCTTGACCCACTTCCTTTTTTAACGTCAAGGCCTTTTCACATATCGCACTACACTTCCTCACGATGACTTCCTTATCAAGAAGACAGCGGAAAGGCTGATAAGATAATGAAGTAGCTGTGACTGTCCACTCATCTGTCCCCTAATACGGATCCGTAGGTCAGGGCGCAGTGATGAAGGCAGCAGTAAATTATCAGATGATAGCGAAAAGCTTGATCGAGGTAAATCACTTGTTCAAGCGTAAACACATAATGCGGACACACTATTTTGTGTTCGGATCGCTTGCAATGCATACCTTTTAGGAATGGCGGCGGAACAACACTGACAGTAACGTTGCGATAAAAAGGCGAAGAATTAAGTTTTCCTCTTTCATGCATGCACAATAAGCCGGTATCCACTGGACTGTACAACCATAAATGTTCTAATCACGCTACCCTGTTTCACCACAAACATCTGCCCCGAGTAGGTGGAGGGGGAGAGCGTAGTCCGTATAAATAAAAGCACAGCACTCTAAAGTCTGAATGCAGAAGGTTCAATTGAGCAAAGTATAGAAGTGTTGGAAAGTCGCGCAATACTAATGCAATAGAGAGGAAATTTTTTAAAAAATGTTGCAAAAAAAATCCTGCAAAAATTTAGCACATATAGGAAGGCTTTGTTTATGGGACCACTTGTTTTACCCATGTATCCGTTGGTTAGTCCTCTGGCCATGCCAAGGTCCAATCTCTTCCTATCCTCTGAAAACACATATTTTCTCCTTATCTTAATGCCTTCTTCTCTACCTCGTGGGAAGTCTCGGGGCGATTTATTCGACGACTCCCATCTTTGTATCTACCGTTGTGATGACATGTATCAACGGTGCGAAGTGGGCACAGACAAGTTAAGCAGGAGACTCTCCATATTTTGCGCATTCAAAGGGTGAGGAAAGATGTCTGCGTATGGCCCACCTTGTCCCTCAGTCCAACAGACGAACTGTAAGGAACCGAAGCGGCACCACTGTGAACTAAGTGGGGAAGCTTCGTGGTAGCATTCGCCTTACTTCATCCGTGTATAAATGTTGTAAATGCCACTACTCCGGATTGTCTTCCATGCGTCGATGTGTCTGATCCCGGTTTCCTCCGTATTGCATCTGATTTAGACTAGTGTTTCACTGTCTAATCCTGGGAGCAATTCATGCCCAA